AGTTCCGATATGCGCAAATATTGAAAGGAAACAAGATCTTTTGGTTATAAAGATGTATTTCAAGTTTCATCAAAATCTATTCAAAATTGTGGCCTCAAGAGGGTCCACAAACTCGATATACCATATACACTGTAATCCAAGTATCAATTAATCTGGTGTACCGTATTTTTCGATGTATAAGGCGCACTTTTTTTACCAGGTATTTTATTTTCTAGAGGGGGTGCGCCTTATACATAGTATTAAGCAAATCTTGGCTTTTCTGTGTGTCAACATCGAGGTCTGAAGTTGATCATATCGACAACAGCAATAAAGATGGCGGCCATTTCCCATACCGATATCCCGTATACCGTTAGTCATAGACGACAGTGGCAACAATATGGGTCAATAGCGGTTTAGTGTTATTAAAATATCTGCAAAGATATCGTAAATAATTAGATGACATATTTTTTCTGCTATTCCGACATTCCGATGTCGTCTTTTCTCGTGCAATAAATATGGCGGCCATTTAAGATACGGTATCGGCTTTTCCGTATACCGTTAGTCATATTTCTATTATTCCGGCTTTTCCGTATACCGTTAGTCATAAACGACAGTGCTAACAATATCTGCAAAATTCTCGTTAATATTTCTATTATTCCTGCGTATTTGATGACATATATTTCTGCTAATCCGTTTACCGGTACAGTTAGCCACTGTCGGCAATCCAAACAGTGTGTCGTCAACGGTGATATCAGTCAAGTTGACGAAAAGGCGGGGCTTTCGACAGACAAAGAGTTTTCATTGGCTATTAGAAGGGTAATTTCCATTGAGCACACGCTCATTATACCATAGGCTATGGGTATTGTCTGTTACAATGACAGCGTTAATGGGCGGGATTACAGTTAAACTGGCAGAATATATCGAAGAACAGAACAAATTTAAGCCATCGACTAAAATATATTTTAAGGACATAAAAAATTAACACAAGTATAATAAAAACATATAATAAAAACAAACAGGTTCACCAGTATAGCACAGCATAGTTATAGGCACAGTATAGATATAATAAAATATGGATATAAGAAAAACAAAACGTCTCACGTTTGACTCCCCCTAACTAAATTCACGACCCGCGGCCCTATTACCGTGTGCTTCAGCGTAACTAATTACCCTCAACTTCTCCTTAGCGGTATAAGCGGTTCGTCTCGTAGCCATTCTGAATAAATAATTTTTAAGAATGATGGAATGTTCACTGGTGTTTTATATACATCGGGGTGTTTTCTTTGAGCAAGACTGTCTTTTAGTAACCGTTTTAAGTTACCGACGGTTTTCATTCAACATGGATTCAGTGATTGGCCCATTGTTATAATTTACCGGTATAGTTAATTATCTACCAGTGAGTTGTTATCGTTTTCTTTATGAAGTCGTTTGTAGTTGACAAAATCATTGTTTCTTTGATTGGTATTAAAAATGCTATTGTATTATTTTACCGGTATAGTTAATTATCTACCAGTGAGTTGTTACCGTTTTCTTTATGAAGTTGTTTGTAGTTGACAAAATCATTGTTTTTTTGATTGGTATTAAAAATGCTATTGTATTATTTTACTGATAGATCTAAATGGCTACAATCTGGGTATTGTCATGACGCGTGGAGTGGGCGGGGCAACAGACGCTATCGTTTGATTGTCAGTTGTTTGCATAACTTGGAGTAAACTGGAATTGTTGTTTCTCTTTTACCGGTAGTCAGGATTTAAGTTGTGAGTAACTGATCATGATATATTATTTCTACAGGTATTATTTAATTTGTTTATCATCAAAACCGATTCATTTATCACAGACAATTACTCACGAATTTAACACGATGTAATAGACGGCCATGTTTGTTGTGGGCGGGACTTGAATGACAATTTCACTACCGTACGAGCAACAGAATTACAGCTGAAAGTTATGCAATAATGCAATTGCGTGTTATAATTAATATAAACAAATGTAACAAAAGCAATTTATTTCATAAAGAAATATAATTATATAAAGCTTGATACGGCTAAATATCGGTAATTATTATAACTGTAAACAATAGAGTTTGACCTAGTTACTGGAGATCGCAGGTGGATTTGAGTCACATATGCTATGGCACGAGTTTCACACGCGCTGGGAAAGGGTGCGCCTAAACCACGCATATTTTTATTTTTTCCTGAAACACCTCTGCCAAAGTCGCCCTGCGCCTTATCTACGCATGCGCCTTATACACCGAAAAATACGGTATATAGCACTAAATTTTTTGTACAATCAGGGGCAATAATCCATGAAGTTATGGTCCGATATGAACGAGTATCCGATAAATGCCAATATCGAAAGGAACCAAGATCTTTTAGAGATAAACCTATATTTCAAGATTCATCAAAATCGGATAAGAATTGTGAACTGTAGAGTGTCCACAAACAAATTGTAAATGGATGGATGTCTGGACGTTCAGGGGAGACGACAATATACGTCTACATGATATTTCGTACAATCAGAGGCGATAATCCAAGAAGTTACGATCCCATATGCACGAGTATCGAAAGGAACCAAGATCTTTGGGATATAAACATATATTTTAAGTTTCATCAAAATCGGAAGCAAATTGTGACCTATAGAGGGTCCACCAACCTTGATGTTACATACTTTAACACTATTTGTGTTATAAATATGTATTTCAAGTTTCATCAAAATCGGATCAAAATTGTGGCCTCTAGAGGGTCCACAAACATATATATTTACGCAATTTGCGTACGAGGGGCGGACTTTAGCCTCTAGAGCTGGCAGTAATTATCAGATATCGCTGAAAATCAATAGGCTTCTTCGTCTCAACACTGTGTATAAATTTAAAGACAATCGGATAATAACTGGACGGACAGGAGCGACGATAATATACGACCACATTTCAATGTGGGCGTATATAAAAAGCAAAATAAATCAATAAAGAAAATTGTCAATATATATAAATTTAAAACGATTGGATGACCTGCAGACTTCCACAAGAAATATTGAACGACTGCTGTGAGGACAATATACAACCACATGAACGTATAAAAAGGTTTAACCAGCAGCTGCCAGGCAGGATACGCCCACATTTTTCAAGAGATGGATAGAGAACAAGCTAAACAAAAAGCGATTTTTTGTAAAAATTAAGTGCCATAATTCAGGAAGGTATAATCAGATATGTGCGAATATCAATAGGAACCAAGATCTATGAGTTATAAACATGCATTTTAAGTTTCATTAAAATCGGATCAAAATTGTGACCTCTAAGAGGGTTCCAAACCTTGATATACCAGATGCATACCTACCAACGTTTGAAACCCAAAAAGCATAGCAGCCAGGGTTGGTCCAGGACATAGTCCTGGTGGGGGGTTCAGGGGGGCAAAGCCCCCCTTGACGCAAAATGAATATTGGCATTCAGATAGGTTAAAATGTGGCCAAAATCATCACATTCCTACCACAATCATAGAGACTTTCCACCAAAAATAATACTGGAAAAGTCATAAAGGTTGATAGACATATTTATTCTATTAGCTACCTTAAATTTAATGAACAGTCATGTTGATAAATAGTATGAAATTATACCATTATATTGGCAGTTATGCTGTCAACCTTTCACAAGAATTCAACTATTTAGATTTAAAAATAACAGTTTTAAACACTTCCAATAGATAACATTGGTGTGGTTATTTACTTTGTTTTGTCCAGGATAGAAATAATAATAAACTACTGCCTTGTTTTTTTCGTTCCCATGTGGTCTTTAACATCGCTAATTCCTCTGTGTCCAATTGAAAAATCTTGTCAACATAACGTGCAGTTCGCGTAATTTTCACCCTTTCTTGAACGGATAATTACTCCTGGGTAGGCTTTGGAATATTCCTCACGGAATAACTGCAATTTTCTTTTCGGTTTTACACTCGTTTGCGATTTTTCTCCGGCTGATTCCATGATCGTTCACTTGGCAGCAGAGCTATAAATAGCCTCACGCATACAGTAGCATAAGGAATGGCTCGACAGGAAGTTACAATAAAGCCGTGCCGATTGTCTTTGTTTTGATGTCTTTGTTTTGAATTACGGTACAGCTCTTTCGCAATTTTGTGAATAAAACTTTTTAACAAATTCTAATTTTTGGAATATTTTTAATAAAAAAACGTATTTTTTATCAATGCAGCCGTAACCCGAATAAGTTGATGGAAACCGTACTTGTTACGGTAAAACCGGAGTAGTTGGCAAGTATGCAGATGTTTACACTATTTGCATAGAGGGGCGGCCATTTTGTCTGGCAGTTTTCGTCTGATTTCCACAATATTCGAACTCAACCAACATTATGGTGTAACAGTGATATATTTGAACGTTTTTGTAAATCAGATAATAATTGTGACCTCTAGAGGAACCACAAGCTAAAAACAGGATTTTTCGTACAATCAGAGGTCCCGTGTATATATTGGAATGCACGTAAAAGATCCCCTGGCAATTGGAATTCAATATAAGAGTAGGCGATAGTGCCGCTGCCCGGGCAAAATATCCCTCATAGCACACTGTATGGCGTATGCCCGTCTTCATTAGCCCAGTATATAGGAGCAGAACAGTAGGACGTTAAACCCCATTTCATTTCATTTCGTACAATCAGGGGCCATAATTCAGGAAGTTACGGTCCGATATGCGCGAATATTGAAAGGAACCAAGATCTTTGGGTTTTAACTAACATTCCAAATTTCAACAAAATCAGATAAAAATTGTGACCTCTATAGGGTCCACAAGCTAAAAATGCGATTTTTCGTATAATCGGGGGCCATAATCCATGAAGTTATGGTCCGATACATGCCAATATCGAAAGGAACCGAGATCTTAGGGAGATAAACCTACATTTCAAGTTTCATTGAAATCAGATAAAAATTGTGACCTGTAGAGTGTCAAGACGAACGGACCAGACCGGGGCGACAACAATATACATCCACATGAAAATGTGGGCGTATAAAAAATGTTGACCTATTTACCAAGCTGAGCCTTTTTTTCTATATATGTCATAATATCCCGAGCATATTTGGACCAGGCTTTGGCTCTTTGTAGAGCTAAATCTAGTCCAGTCTCTAAATGAACCAATGTTAAATCTATATCTTCAGCACTTAACTGTCCTACAAAATACAAACAAATAATTAGAGCTTGGTGATATTTCATTTGTTTTGATATAAAATCATCCCAGAAATAAAGATATGTTGCCAGGCAACGAAACATACGCCCACAGCAGATAAATCGTTCGAGTGGTTGACAAGAGTTGTCGCATATTTATTCCTTTGTAGGTAATTGGGGGCCTACAATAGACAGTTCCATACAGATCAGATTATGATTTTTGTCGCTTGAGGGTTCACAAGGTTTTACAAACTCAACTTTGGAAGTAGTTTACAGAAATTGTTGAAATTTGACAGGCTTTTTCGTTTTACTAATTTAAATAATGCACATAAATTTCATACAGATCGGATGATCACTTTTGTCATTCAAACATTCACAGGGTTCACAAAGTAAAACAAGGGCCATAACTCTAGAAATAATTGACGGAAATTGCTGAAATTCAATAGACCTGGTGTTTCTTAAACTAATCAGGAGCCGAAGGAATTTAATACCGATATGCATGAATATTGAAAGGAACCAAGATCTTTGGGTTATAAACTTACATTTCAAGTTTCATCAAAATCAGAAGAAAATTGTGACCTCTAGAGGGTCAACAACATTGATTTACCATATTTTTACGCTAATTGTGTACGAGGGGCGGCCATTTTATCGGGCAGTTTTGGTCCGATTTTCACCAAATGCCCGAATATCGAAAGGAACCAAGATTTTTGGGTTATAAAATTACAATTCAAGTGTCATCAAAATCAAATGAAAATTGTGACCTCTAGATGGTCCACAACATTGATATACCATATTTTTACGCTATTTGAGTACGAGGGGCGGCCATTTTGTCTGTCAGTTCTGGTCCGAATTTTACGAATTTCCAACTCAACCATCCATAGGGTGTAACAGTGATATATTCAAACGTTTTATTAAATCGGATAAAAATTATGACCGATATAGGGTCCACAAGCTAAAAACACGATTTTGAGTACAATCAGGGGCCATAATTCACCATATTTTTACGCTATTTGAGAACAAGGGGTGGCCATTTTATCTGTCAGTTTTGGGTTGATTTTCACGAAACCGAACTCAGCCATCCTTAGGGTGTAACTGTGATATACTACAACGGATTTTTAAATCGGATAAAAATTATGACCTCTATAATTCAGGAAGTTACAGTCCTATATTTGCGAATATATCGCACCTAAGCAGATAATTCTCATCTTCAAACACCATCAAAGCATTCACCTAATAAACACCTACGCCAAGTGTGAACATTCTAGCTCAATTAGAATGAGAGTTACTGTGTTCCAAAGTCTCGATCAATGAAATTGCTTATTGCTCGGGTTACTCTGAGCAGAAAATGCTCATTATCGAACTTAGTCAAGGTATTGATGTAATAAAACTATACACCAAATTTCATCATTCTCACTTAATTAGAACTAAAGTTATCTTGTCCCAAAGCATCAACCAATCAAATTGCTTATCTCTGCTTACCCTAAGCAGAAAATGTTCGTCTTCGAACTCCATCAAGGTACTGGCCTAATAAACACCTGCACCAAGTATGAACGTTCTAATTAGAAGAAGGAAAGTTATTGAGTTCCAAAGTCTCAGCCAATCAAATTGCTTATCACTCTGCTTACCCTGAGCAGAGAATGCTCATTATCGAACGTAGTCAAGGTATTGATGTAATGAAACTATCACTGCTATATGCATAGTGTGTAGAACGGAGCTCTAAGTATTGACTTACTGGCCTCTGCGTTAGAATATCCTTCAAAAGAGTAGAAAAGATTAATTGTGGTTACTATTCATGGGAACTCAAGGGAAATATATGTGTTCTCAGTAGTCACTTAAACCGGTCAGTACTTGCACTGTACGTCAGTATTCCTATAAATGGTCAGTATGTAGTAGTTATTAGCACACTTTCCTCTGTGTATCGGTGAAGATCAGGACAGTTTTGGTCGAGGGGCCCAGCCGAGGCGGCCCCCGACCAAAACTGTCCTGATCTTCACCGATACACAGAGGAAAGGTGCTAATAAGTCACTTACATCACATTTCTATCGAGTATTGTGAAGCGAAATGGGACAAATACTTTCTGCTTTTTCATTTATCCCTTTCTGTGCCACACGTTACATTTCGTGGTAGAATGATTTTGCAGTGAGAAACGACCAGGGTAGTATTTACACGTGCATCTTGCTGCCTTACCCTGACCGTAAAACAGTCACATGTTTTTCTTTAGATTGCACTCCGTATTGAAAGACGAAGTTGTTTTGACGAAGTCAGTGAACATAAAGCCAACCACATCGTCAAAACAACTTGTCCCTGGCGTAGAGGACTGCAATTATATTAAACGTAATGTAAAGGACACTGCACAACGTGGGCCAAAGTGTGCATCGGTGGATGGTTCGTCCGTTGAAATTTATTTGTAATAAAATTTATGACTTTCTAGGCGTGTGTTTTCATCCTGCTTGTATAAATGTGTTTGTCGGAAATGAATAGTACCCTTTATGGAAAGCGTACTGTTCATTTCTGATACACAGATACTTTTATACCTGTACTAGCAGGATACCCGGCTTCGCTCGGGGTCATAACTCCGAAACCGGAAGTGGTAGACTAACGCCACCTGGCCTATGTTACTCCCCGGTCCAATCTACCCCTATACCGCAAATTTCAGACTCGTGGCAGACCTAGTGTAGCCGCCAACCTCGAACAGACCGGCTTTCGCTCGGGTGTCATTACTCCAAAACCTGGCCACCTGGCCTATGTTACTTCCCGGTCCGAGCTACCCCTATACCCCAAATTTCAGACTCGGGGCAGACCTAGTGTAGCCGCCAACCCCGAACAGACCGGCTTCGCTCGGGGGTCATAACTCCGAAACCGAAAGTGGTAGACTAACGCCACCTGGCCTATTATGGAAGGGTATCGCTGCCAATATTAAATGCTCTGCGACAATGTCGTTTCCATTGATTATATGTAAAAACTACAATGTACAAAGTCCTAATACCGATATTGATAAAGTCAAAATACCTCTAAGGGAAGAGTTAAATGTAAAACGTCAAATGTTAAGTGTTAAATGACAAATGTTTTGTGGGAAAATGTTTTTTTTGACATGTCTACATTTTACATTTCTCTCATTACATTTTACATTTGTGCTCTGCCACATCCCATTTGTCCTTCACGCTTTCTACATAGCAACTTTCGCACAGCATCAACTTGTATATGCAAACGTAGGATATCACGTGACTTATTAACATATATGGAAACCCGGCACAAGCACACTATAAGGATATTCGCCGCAAGACAAAAGAAATCAAGCTGGCACACCATAAGAAACTATCTAGACGACCGTCCGTAATTTGGAATGTGCCAGGAAATAATTGATAGATTCAAGCAACCAAAGAAACATACTTTCCAGTAATTTATAACACAATAACTGGAATTTCGTATTTATACCCGTATTTTTTTTATACTTTTTTTGATTAAGCCCTGTATCTTTATTTTAGTTTAGCCCTCCCCCCCTTCCTTCACTTCAACTTTAATCTTATTTTGTAATGTTAAGCAAACATGAAAGAGCCAGAAAATTATTTGCATATTTGAAAAGAGCAATCAGTGATACTTAACATGGTATCTGGAATTTCGTATTTAGACCAGTATTTTTACTTGAATACCCCTTTAATAGTGTGATATTTATTGGATTTAAATTATGAAAAAACGATTGTACCAGAAAACTATTTACAAACAGAAATGAATGTGATGTCCACTAATATGTAACATGATACCTGAAATTTCGTATTTGGACATTGCACAGCCCCCCCCCACCCCGTAATCATCATAAAGTGCCATCCAAAGTGTCAAGGTGAGTAAATTTTTATTGTGTGCTAGGCTAATTTCCTGTTATAGTTCGTGAATATTCTTGTTCTGGCTTAGAGTGTGCCAGGTTTCCGTATATGTTAATAAGTCACGTGATATCCTACATTTGCATATGCAAGTTGATGCTGTGCGAAACATGCTATGTAGAATGCGTGAAGGACAAATGGGATGTGGCAGGGAGCAAATGTAAAATGTAATGAGAGAAATGTAAAATGTAGACACGTCAAAAAAAGCATTTTCCCACAAAACATTTGTCATTTAACACTCAACATTTAACGTTTTACATTTAACTCTTGCCTTAGAGGTATTATGACTTTATCATTACCGATATTATGACTTTGTACATTGTACTTTTTACATATAATCAATAGAAAAGACTTTGTAGCAGAGCATTTAATATTGGCAGCGATACCCTTCCATAGCCTATGTTACTCCCCGGTTCGAGCTACCCCTATACCCCAAATTTCAGACTCGGGGCAGACCTAGTGTAGCCACCAACCCCGAAAAGACCGGCTTCGCTCGGGGGTCATAACTCCGAAACCGGAAGTGGTAGACTAACGCCACCTGGCCTATGTTACTCCCCGGTATGAGCAACCCCTATACTCCAAATTTCAGACTCGGGGCAGACCTAGTGTAGCCGCAAACCCCAAACAGACAGACAGACAAACGACAGTCACAAATATATATGTAGATTGGAAATAAACAGGACAGTTTTATCAAAGGTAGCCAGTGGCAACGAGGTAGAAGTGGGATGTAATAATCATAAGGTAAGAATTTTAGTTAATTGGTTAGTATACCTTACTTGTGTCAGTATGCAAAAATAGCTTGAGTAATTAAACAAACGTGAGTTTATCCGAACATATCACTAGTCAGACGCGTGCGGGAGAAATTGTAAAGATAGGCTGCCAGGCAACGAAACATAAGCCCACAGCAGCTAAATCGTCCGGGCAGTCAACAAGTGTTGTCGCATATTTTTACTTTTTTCGGTAATAAAACATTTATAATACACTAAAATCTGATTAAGAGTAACAAATCATGAAGTAATTATCAGAAAACCATTAGAATTTGTTTGGTTTTTATAAAGTTCTGCCCCATGCTAATGCTTAGTATTTATCGGATGTGGGTGTATAAAAAGCGTGACTAATTAAGAAAGCGTCAGTATTTGGGGTATTGCTCACTATCTGAGTGAAACCGCCAGTTATCTTTGATTTGCATCAGTAAGTGGAACTGTCGCCAGTAGAGCGTGAAATCGTTAACTATTGTTACTATAAGTGATAATATATATTATTATCCTGAATAAATGATATTTATTAATATTCTCGAATCTGAGGAAATTTTTTAAACAATAGTGGATGGCAGTGAACAAAGGGACAATTTGTCGGCGATTTCGATTACCGCCGTAGTTAGCAAAAGACACCGATGATGGTTGGATAGATCTATCTATAAATACCTTCATATTTAAATATAAATTTAAATGGTCAGTGGCAAGGTTTGATTCGTCACACTATTTGTACCTGCTCCCGTTCTTACAACGGGTTCCCCATGCAGAATACGGCACAATGTGCATTGTTATTTAATTTACAATTCATATTTATTCTCGTTACATGCAGATTGGGACATGGTTTGGTGCAGACGGCACTTTGATATCTGTATGGATTAAATTTGGAATCACAACTAATGGTTAAAAAAGGATCATCAACACCAATCTGTTTCCGCTAATTTTATTGAAACAGATAATATGATAGCAGACAACAGAAATATTGAATTTCATACACATACATGTATACAAGCTGAAATACTGAACACTGAAGAATCATGTGAATATCTATTTACATTTGAGAAATAATAACTATTAAACAATATATATAACGATGAAAATACATGTAGTGATAAGATATAATAAGGTACGTTATACAATGTTAAAATACAATATGATTGTACGTAACAGGAAAAGATAGGTTGCCAGGCAACAAAACATACGCCCACAGCAGCTAAATCGTCCGAGCAGTCGACAAGGGTTGTCACAATTTTATTCTTTTGTAGGTAATTAGGGGAATTTAATAGACAATTTCATACAGATGACATTATAATTTTCGTCGTTTGAAGGTTCACAAAGTTCTAAAAACTAAAACAAGGGCCGTAACTCTGGAAGCAATCTACAGAAATTGTTCAAATTCGACAGGCTTTTTCGTTTTACTAATTCAATTAATGCATATAAATTTCATACAGATCGGATGATAACTTTTGTCCTTCGAAAGTTCACAAAGTTCAACAAAGTAAATCAAGGGCCATAACTCTAGACATAATTGTTGGAAATTGCTGACATTCATTTCACTAATTTAGGTGATAACTGAAACTCATTAGGCTTGTTCGTTTTACTAATTTAAATGAAACATATAAATTTCATACAGATCGGATAATAACTTTTGTCGTCAGAGCATTTACAAGGTACAACAAAGTGAAACAAGGGCCATAACTCACAGCTTAATTAACGGAAATTGCTAAAATTCAATAGGCTTCTTTGTTTCAGTAATTTAAATGATGCATATAAATTTCAAACAGATCGGATGATAACTGTTGTCATTAGAGCGTTCACAAGATTCAACAAAGTGAAACAAGGGCCATAACTCTAGATGTAATTAACGGAAATTGCTGAAATTCAATAGGCTTCTTTTTTTTACTAATTTAAATGATGCATATAAATTTCATAGAGATCCGTTGATAACTTTTGTCGTTGGAGCGTTCACAAGGTACAACAAAGTGAAACAAGGGCCATAACTCCAGAAGAAATAAACGGAAATTGCTGAGATTCAATAGGCTTCTTCATTTCACTAATCTAAATGATGCATATCAATTTAAAACAGATCGGATGATAACTGTTGTCATTAGACGTTCACAAGATTCAACAAAGTGAAACAAGGGCCATAACTCTATATGTAATTAACGGAAATTGCTGAAATTCAATAGGCTTCTTTTTTTTACTAATTTAAATGATGCATATAAATTTCATAGAGATCCGTTGATAACTTTTGTCGTTAGAGCGTTCACAAGGTACAACAAAGTGAAACAAGGGCCATAACTCCAGAAGAAATAAACGGAAATTGCTGAGATTCAATAGGCTTCTTCATTTCACTAATCTAAATGATGCATATCAATTTAAAACAGATCGGATGATAACTGTTGTCATTAGAGCGTTCACAAGATTCAACAAAGTGAAACAAGCGCCATAACTCTAAATGTGATAAACGGAAATTGCTGAAATTCAATAGGCATCTATGTTTTACTAATCTAAATGATGCATATAAATTTCATAGAGATCAGTTGATAACTTTTGTCGTTAGAGTGTTCACAAGGTGCAACAAAGTGAAACAAGGGCCATAACTCCAGAAGAAATTAACGGAAGTTATTGAAATTAAATAGGTTTCTTTATCTCACTAATGCAAACAACATATATCAATTTTAAAACAATCAGATGGACGGACGGGGGCGACGGCAATATAAGACCACATTTCCATGTGAGCGTATAAAAAATGAATTTCATACATACAAGTAAACCAAAATTATGAGCACGGAAATTGTTTTATTTAGCACATGATAAATATAACTGATACACTGCATGCAATGGTGAAATAATAAAACCATGTACAACGTTCGATCTTGAGATATCTCTCATGTGCGAAATTCGAAAGTCATGTAGATATCCCGTACGATTAATTTTTTTTTATTAAAACTAAGACTGATAGAAATACATATAAGCGGTTGCCATGGAAGATACGCCCACATTTTGCAAGAGATGGACAGAGAACAAGCTCAAAAAAAGAAGTGATTTTTCGTACAATCAAGGGCCATAATTCAGGAAGTTACGATCCGATAAGCATGAATATTGAAAGGAACTAAGATCTTTGGGTTATAAACATGTATTTCAAGTTTCATTAAAATCGGATCGAAATTGTGTCCTCTCTCTAGAGGGTTCAAAACCTTGATATACCATATATTTACAATATTTGCGTATGTGGGGCAGCCATTTTGTCGGGCAGTTTGGGTCCGATTTGTACGAAATTCGGACTCAACCATCATAAGGGAGTAACAGTGATATATTCAAACGTTTTTTTAAACCGGATAAAAATTGTGACATCTAGAGGGATCACATTCTAAAAATGCGACTTTTCGTACAATCAAGGGCCATAATTCAGGAAGTTACGATCCAATATGCGCAAATATCAAAAAGAACCAAGATCTTTGGGTTATAAATATGTTAAATCAAAATCAGATCAAAATTGTGGCCTCTAGAGGATCCACAACCTTGATATGTGCAAGAGGCGGCCATTTTGTCCGGCAGTTTTGGTCCGATTTCCACCAAATTCGAACTCAGCCATCATAATGGTGTAACGGTGATATATTCGAACGTTTTTTTTAAATCAGATAATAATTATGACCACTAGAGGGACCACAAGCTAAAAACACGATTTTTCGTACAATCAGGGGCCATAATTCAAGAAGTTACGAGATTTTAGGGAGATAAATCTATATTTCAAATCCGATAAAAATTGTGACCTGTAGAGTGTCCACAAGCTAAAAACGTGATTTTTCGTACAATCAGGGACCATAATTCAGGAAGTTACGGTCCGATATGCGCAAATATCGAAAGGAACCGAGATCTTTGGGTAATAAACTTACATTTCAAGTTTCAAAAAAATCGGATAAAAATTGTGACCTCTATAGGGTCCACAACCTTGATATACCATATTTTTACGCTATTTGAGAACGAACGGCGGCTATTTCGTCTGTCAATTTTGGGCCGATTTTCACGAAATTCGAACTCAGTCGTCCTTAGGGTGCAACAGTGATATAATAATACGTTTTTTTTAAATCGGAAAAAATTATGACCTCTTTAGGGTTCACAAACTAAAAACGTGATTTTTCGTACAATCAGGGGCCATACTTCAGGAAGTTACAGTCCGATATGCGCGAATATCGAAAGGAACCAAGATCTTTGGTTTATAAACTTATATTTTAAGTTTCAACAAAATCGGATAAAAATTGTGACCTCTATAGGGGCGACGACAATATACTTCCACATGAAAATGTGGGTGTATAAAAATTGTGACCTCTATAGGGTCCACAACCTTGATACCAATCTCCCAAACAGAGTTGTCTTCCCTTGCAGTTGCAGTCCAAACAATCTCTGCTAACGGCTCATTTGACTACGCCACTAAGATTCTTGGTGTTGATGGACAATGATAAACAATACGATTTAAAACAAATAAATGATAATATATTTAATACTATTACCATATTTAAATAGAAATGGAGTCACAATTGCAATGTAACAATGTATTTACAAATATTACAGGGAACTCTTTCGTGTAAGATTACAGGGTTAAATGGTCGGAAATACGAACTGCGGATGTCGCCGTGCTAATTTTAGAATATAATACACATGGATCTGTTTACCGTTATAATGAGATCGTAAGGCCTAATACATTTACACACGAAACATGCAAAATTAGACTGTTTCTTTCGGAGAGGTAATAATTAATGACATTTTCCCCTAAAATTGACTAAAACTCATCAACTGTTTATAACGCCAGGAACTTTTCTGACAGATGTCGTTTTCATCATCTAGTTAATCACGTGACCAGTTTAGTGCGTGAGCCGTGGGCAGAGTCGAATGCTGGATAGCAAGACTTGTGTGGAGAGTGCCTTGATATACCATATTTTTACGCCATTTGAGAATGAGGGGCAGCCATTTTGTCTGTCAGTTTTGGTCCGATTACTATGAAGCTATGTGCTATGAGTCACGTACGCCATACGCTGAAGTTAACTATGCCTTTTTACGAGTGATTTAACTATTAATGAAATATGAAGAAGAAAATGGTGTTTTGACATGACCACAAGTATTATTATTTTGAACGCTTTTCTTTCATTTGCTGCCATGTAAACCAAGACATGTAATTTTGGAGGAATATTAGATTGACGAAATACCGAAGACGACTCCATTTACGGCGACGAATTTGTGAACTTTTGAAGAAACAATCGATGACTACATTCAGGGCCCTTATTCACGAAAACTTAAACTAAGATACAATCGAAATTTTGAAACTTGAAGGGAACTCTTTCATGTTGCATATCAAATTAAAGCTCTACAGAAGCACTATTCAACCAGGTATGTTGTATTTAAATTATATAATATGTGAAACTGACCAGTCTTATTATAAGTTTCTAAAATATTCATCAGACAGGATCACTCAAAAAATAATGAAATAAATTAAGCTATATACATTTCAGGAGGAAAATAACAAGGAATTGATAGTTAGACCTTTCAACTTCACCAGTGCCTGAAAATGAAAAACAAGAAAATAATTTATATTTAACATTTTTTGAAATTTACTAATACTCTGCACTTTTCTTAATTATATTTCAAGAAAATAATTTATATGTAACATGTTTTGAATTTACTATTCCTAAAAAGATATAAGATAATAAATTGTTCAAACGTAATTGAATTGAGATTATGTTCCTATGAATGCGTGCAGCTTTGTCTGTCCTGGGGGGGGGGGGGGCAAAAGGTTAACAGGCGCACATGAAATCGTAAGGGCATGGTATCAATTGAATCCCTGCTTCTACATAGCCCCTAAACGCAAGCAAGTTATTGAAATAAAATTGAACCATGTTAGTCCCAAAATGCCCTAATTAGTGTCGGATGGAAATTAAACCTCATTTCTATCCCTCTCTTTGATCTTTACTCTTGTCTTAACTTAATGTCATTATCATTATAGTAAAACAAGAAAAGCAAATGTTAAAAGTTCGTACCTGGGAACCATCCATTGTCGAAAGCCACAGCAATCCAATCATCGCTATCTATGTTGTCTCCATCAGCAAGTATATCATTACTGTATTCATCTTTTTCATAGTTGTCACTTTCATTATCATCATTTTCAAATGGCTTCTTGCAGTGTTTTGAAATTGTTGGCCTTTTTCGTTTCTGTTTCGCAGATTCCTTGTCTTTGAAGTAGTTTCAAATTCTTTATGAGTTTTACGAAGCTTCAAACCCTCGCATCTTGCTTTCGAAGAGCGCCCTTCTTTCATCAGCAGTCTTCTTATCTAGCCAGTCACTCAGACGCTTACTGTTTGATTTAAACAGTAATAAAGTTGTGTGGTAGTGGAGAGTTGCATTTCTGCGCCTTGATTGGCTGGCATCCAGCATTCCAAAGTGCCTTTCACAAATCAAATTATGCAGCGGTGCTCCCGATACTGTTCCTTTTTCTTCTCAACAGGTCTACTCATACCACCAGATAGAAAAGCTGAAAGCTGGTTCTTGCAACATTCAAGCATACCTTCACAAATACCACTTGTACACTTGAGGAAAATTTTTATTTTGGATGGCTGTTGCATTGATGTCAGGAACATGACAGACTTTCTTTTGTAAGGAAAATCTTCAAACAAAAGATCATCATTTACATTCAAGATGCTCAGTAGATCTTTCACCCATAACATTATTTTCTGGTACATTGGTTGAACATACTCATGTAATGAGAGGTAGTTGCAGTGTCCACTACTCATAGCATACCAGTATGGACCACTTATCTTGAAATAAACTGAAGCCAACGAAGTTATTATAGCAACTATTTTACCATCCATCAGATCGAGATTTCCAGACTTTACCTTCAAGTTTGTAGTTTGAAGATCACTGAAGAAGTTAAGTATGTCTTTCCTGTGGAATAGCACTTGGGCAGATGTTTCAAAGAGACAATTAAATCTGTTGTCTTTATAACTTCCAATTAAAGACTTGATGTTGTGGATTCTACAGTATGCTAACCAATGCCATCGTTCTCTTAAACCATTCTTCTCATCAGAAACAGGCCCCAATAAATCAGAAATAAATCGAACAGTCCGCACTCCTGCGATTTCTAGTCTGTATAAAACTGTCTGGTCTCTTCCAAGTTTAATTCCCTTATCTTTTAATTCTCTCTGAATATGGTTTAGATGTTTCACTGCATAGGAATGGTAGCCCAGAAGAACATGAACCATACAATAAAATGAGTAGATTGTACTCCTGTCTTCCTCACCATCATACTCTTTTAACAAGTCATCTTTCCACTCTGTAATTTTCATTAGCAGCCCTGTCAGACATAACATAAGAGAGCTTTCTTACAATATCCGTCACAACAGTCTCTCCACATGATGCAACTTCCGATAATTCTGTTTGAGTGGTGCTTGTTATAATTCGGGCCGTTTCAGTGGCAACATGTTAAAGCCAAGGGGCAGCACATCTGAATTTGACAGTGTAAGTGAGTTTCCCAAAATCTTTTTTTTTTCTCGATGTTCCATCTTTGTGAATACCAAAATGTTCAGATGAATTAATTAAATCGGCATACATCTTTTTCACCAAGTACTGGCCTTCATCAGAAACATTAAGAACAGTTTGTCTTGAGGTAAATTACTTTTTTCTATTGGTCTGTGGACAATATGTTTTAGGACACTTTCAGTAACTCCGGGAATTTTATCTGTAGCCAAGAATGCATCGTCGGGAATCATCTGAAAATATCCCCTGTTCAGTCAACGTACATGGAGGTACATGTACTTCACGCTCCTCCAAAGCATAATGGGTGTTGATTGATGTGATTTCTTGTTCGAGCTTGTTTAACCTCTTCTCTTGACATTTGTTTGATTGAACTCTTTTGTATTTTCTCTTCTTAAATACGCAATTGGTTTGTAATTTTCTGTTATTTACTTGTAAAAAATCTTATTTCTTTTTGTAAATTCAATGCTTGTTTTTTGAGTTTCTTCAGAGTTTGTCATTTTTTCTTTCTTCCCTGTCATTTACATTTTTTGGTCTAAACTTGATTTTTAGGTCGATAAAAGATTTCTTCAATTTTGCAGATTTGTTATTCAGTCTTGATATGTATTTCTTCTTTTTTGTAATTTCACTATCTAAGTTATTGACTATAGAAAAAGTATTTTCCTCTGAACCAGTACAAATATCTTCAGTTACCAAATTTAATGAAGAGAAACAAAATTTAGAGTTATCTAAGTTGATCCTTTCTGCATCTTTTCGTCTACGTCACAAATTATCTCGCTTACTGTGCAGATCTTCAATAAACTTCTAAATTTCACTCGGGTGTACATTGTTGGGTATGTTGGCTAACTTTTTTATCCAACCTGTCCAAAGTTGTAAGTTATATGACTTTTTTATCCTTTCCTTCTCACAAACCTCTCTATACAGGTCTAAAACCACACCATTAGTTAGATCCAGAACTGCAGGAAACTTAGTTAAATAATTATATTTTTTAGTAGAATTTATTATCTAACTAGTAAGATAATTTTCTGTTAAATGAAGGCTAGGCCTAGTTCGTGAGAAAATTTTTAAAAATAATTTTTATAAAAGATAGGCCTAAGCCCAAGTGGCCTAAGGTCGTGTACATAATAAACTACATTTGCAAGTTTTTGATAATATAATTTTTTAAAATTCCTTCTTCCATGATCATCAATGTTTTACTTAAGTTACAATATTGGTAACAGTTACAAATATTTGCAGAAAATGAAAGCGAATAATATGTAAACAAACAATAAGTTCAATAACAACATACATAACAACAACGCATTTGACGTTATCGAATCGATGTTATTTCTTTTGCCGTAAACACATCTTCAACTCGTTCGTTCTACAACCATCAACAATTTTATAAAACTTTACCAATTTCTACTTATTTAATTTAATTGTCGTTTTAATGATGTATTTCATGATGGGTATAAATTGCATTTTGTATCTAAAACTCGGAAGAATAGCGGGCTACTCAATAAAACTATTGACAGCGCGTCACGTGACAAAATAAAATAAAACCAAGTACGAACAATCCAAACCATTAGACAAAATTCGAAGTCCTATAGGCAACGCTCGACATGGCCGCTTAGAACTAGTACCGTTTTGACGCTCATCTGTCTATTTAGATCGTGTTTTATACTGACTAATAGGTTTTTTATTAATTAATTCAGTGTATATAAATTAAGAAGATATTATAAAATACATACTTCTTCAAAAACATTACGAGCCGCAGCACCAAAACTGTGTAAAATTTCGCTTCGCAACGGGGAGTTGCGTTGTCTTGCGGAAATCCTTGTCTAATTGGCTGCCAAATATGATCTCATTCTGACGTAAAATGAGAAAACCCGAGCTATTTTTAGGCGACTGCTCAACGGAAAGACGGTACGCATTTTGACGTTGTGGTATTTTCACTAAACAAAACGGCTCAACTTCCCAAGGGTATTCCGTGTCATCAATAAAAATAAAGTTGACATGTTTGGTATCATTAAAAAGTTAATTCTATTGTTAATACAGTATGCAAAATTTAGATGATTTAAATTATTATTTGAGGTAGCTTTAGGCAGTGTCTTCAGACAACTTTTTGCCAAAATAACGTTGTCATTCAATTTGGCGTCATGTCATTTGGTAATGCTAGTAAAAGGGTGGGGGGCATTACATTGGTTGACGCATGCATTTTAGATCATAAGTTCTGTCATTGAGTCAAATGGTGTGGTTTCGATTCACCGCTTGTACATGACAAGGAATAGGGTCACCATCTAACCTCGTCCACATGTTTCCTCCCAATGCTAAAGACCTGATGTGCAAGTGAATTATAGGTTTGTGTCGAGGAGGACGTAAAATCCCATATATCTTTTTTTTTATCTCTCTTCTCTCTCTCCCTCGATTGTTTTGACAATAATTGGCTTTGGTTGTTTATTCCATAGAAAAGGTCCATCATAGGACAATGCATGTTTTCCAAGTTGCAAGTTAGCATTTGGAGATTTTAGAAGATGTATTGTCTGAGAACTGAGATTTCTACTGGTAGTTCAGGTCTTTACAATATTTTTTTAAAAATATAATATGTGATTTAATTATATTCATTTAATTTTATTTTCTTAAAGTATGGTGACAGTCGTGGTGTTGTCGGTTGCGCTCCCGATAGTGGTTGTAGTTGTAGTGGAAGAGAGGGGTGGGGTGTAAATGTTATATATTATTTATATTCGTTGATTTTTGTCTTGGTGGCGGGCAATATTTTCCATTTCTTATGTTTATTACATTAAAATATATATTTCTTTGAGTTGAACGTAATTGAAATGGGGTTTAACGCCCGACTCAGCTAATGAAGACAGGCATACGCCATATTGTGTTCTTTGAGGGAATTTGTGCCGGGGACCAGTGCTACGGCCTACTCTTATATCAAATTCCAACTGCCAAGGATTCTTTTACGCCTCATCCAATGAGTATATGTTGCCCAAGGCCCTCTGTCCTGCACCAGTGACAAGGGGGAACCATGCCAGTGGATTTTCAGTATGATGTACAGGTAAAGGTCATCATCTACAAGTTTGTACCAAAAGACCTTCTAAAGAACTTTTTGGTGGGTCTTTCAGTATTTTGACCAGACTAATACTCAAATAGACTATCGCGAGACTAGATTCAAGCATATTACTGTATAGAAATCTTCCATGTGAGCAATTGCGGGAAATTTTGGTTTGTTTTCCGGACGCGGGACTTTGAAACATTTTGCGGAATTCTCATATATGCAATCTGCGCGAATCCTCCGAATCTTTATTAATAATAATGTCTAAAAAAAAACGTGTTTTTTGTGTTAATCTAAAACATTAAAATACAACAACAATGATAAAAATAAAACAATCAGATGGAATTTTTGGTAAACACTTAAATAAAATAAAACCATGTACGAACAATCCAAACCATTAGACAAAAATTGAAGTCCTAAAAAACGGTTTACAAAGTAGGCCCTAATAATATCCAGATAATGCCGTAGCCAAAATAAAATGATACGGCACCATGCCATTTCTTCATAATACAATTTGTAGTCTTTTGTCCATCACGTAACTAGTCACCGTAACTTGCAATTTTTTTTATTCATTCGTGGATGATAGACAAACGGTAGAATGATCACGTGACAATCGAAATGAAATTGCTATAAAATAAAATTCAGTATGACTAGGATATATCCTTCAATAATATTTTTAAAATTTAGCATCTGTCAGCATGTGTATAGTATAAAATAAAATAATCATAACAGTACACGCAAATTTTTACCTAATTCCAACGAAGATGTCACGTGTTATGGAATTCGACATTGAGATTCCGTCGAGAAAATATCCACTGTTTCTCTCTCCAAGTATTCGGTGTTCTATCAGGGGATTATATTCAATGAAGATTTAAATTTACCTAACAACTGACCAAGGAATTCATCAATGTATGATCCAGTTATATTTTTTTAAAATAATATCCAGAATTCACACGGACGGAGCGTGGAAGACGCACGATTCACAAACCATGCCGAGGTCGTGGCTTATTAATTATTTTACTGAACATATTTAATATTATGAATAATTACTGTATACCAGAAGCCATGTCATTGTCCTAAAAAAGTTTGATAAATACTTTGTCCGCACAAACGACGGTACGAAAAAAACATGTGGCCGACCTTGACAGTGACAAAAATAGAATTGGAATGACCCAGTTTAACCCCTGTCGGGAATCAAATCGCTGCTCGAAAGGATAAAATCGTGGAACCCAAACTATTTCGTTTCAAGGTTGGCATGCTAAATATTTTTTAAGAAGGATTAAAATAAATAATTAGGAAACAAATAAATTTTCATCGTAACTGAAATATGCATATATACTCTACTTCTAAAAGCAGTCACCGTGTCGTGATCGGGGAATTTTGCACAAAATTTATTATATAAATACATAACAAAAATACAACGGCCAGCCAGAAACTCATCAAAATTATAAGTTAGAAGTAAACAGTAAAACAACAAGCGGTTGCCATGCAAGATACGCCCACATTTTGTAAGAGATGGACAGAGAACAAGCTCAAAAAAAGAAGTGATTTTTTCGTACAATCAAGGGCCATAAATCAGGAAGTTACAATCCGATATGCATGAATATTGAAAGGAACCAAGATCTTTGGGTTATAAACATGTATTTCAAGTTACATCAAAATCGGATCAAAATTGTTTCCACTCTCTAGAGGGTCCAAAACCTTGATATACAATATATTTACAATATTTGCGTATGAGGGGCAGCCATTTTGTCCGGCAGTTTTGGTCCGATTTGTACCAAATTCAGACTCAACCATCATAAGGGTTTGACAGGGATATATTCAAACGTTTTTTAAAATCGGATAAAAATTGTGACATCTAGATGGATCACATCCTAAAAACGCGACTTTTCGTACAATCAAGGGCCATAATTCAGGAAGTTATGATCCAAAATGTGCGTATATCGAAAGGAACCAAGATCTTTGGGTTATAAATATGTATTTCAAGTTTCATCAAAATCGGATCAAAACTGTGACCTCTATAGGGTCCACAGCCATATTTTTACGCTATTTGAAAACGAACGGCGGCCATTTTGTCTGTCAATTTTGGGCCAATTTTCACGAAATTCGAACTCAGTCGTCCTTAGGGTGTAACGGTGACATAATAATATGTTTTTTTAAATAGGATAAAAATTATGACCTTTAGGGTCCACAAGCTAAAAACGCGATTTTTCGCACAATCAGGGACCATAATTCATGAAGTTAAGGTCCGCTAGGAGCGAATATCGAAAGGAACCGAGAACTTTGGGTTATAAAATTACATTTCAAGTTTCAACAAAATCGGATAAAAATTGTGATCTCTATAGGGTCCACAACCTTGATATACCATATTTTTACGCTATTTGAGAACGAACGGCGGCCATTTTGTCTGTACATTTTGGGCCGATTTTCATGAAATTCGACCTCAGCAGTTTTTAGGGTGTAACGGTGATATAATAATACGTTTTTTTAAATCGGATAAAAATTATGACCTCTATTGGTTCCACAAGCTAAAAACGTGATTTTTCGTACAATCAGGGACAATAATTCAGGAAGTTACGGTCCGATATGCGCGAATAATGAAATGAACCGAGATCTTTGGGTTATAAACTTACATATCAAGTTTCAACAAAATCGGATAAAAATTGTGACCTCTATAGGGTCCACAACCTTGATATACCACATTTTTACGCTATTTGAGAATGTACGGCGGCCATTTTGTCTGTCAATTTTGGGCCGATTTTCACGAAATTCGAACTCAGTCATCCTTAGGGTGTAACAGTGACATAATAATATGTTTTTTTAAATCGGATAAAAATTATGACCTCTATAGGGTCCACAAGCTAAAAAGGCGATTTTTCGTACAATCAGGGGCCATAATTCAGGAAGTTACAGTCCGATATGCGCGAATATCGAAATGAACCGAGATCTTTGGGTTATAAACTTACATATCAAGTTTCAACAAAATCGGATAAAAATTGTGACCTCTATAGGGTCCACAACCTTGATATACCATATTTTTACGCTATTTGAGAACGTACAGCGGCTATTTTTGTCTGTCAATTTTGGGCCGATTTTCACGAAATTCGAACTCAGTCGTCCTTAGGGTGTAACGGTGACATAATAATACGTTTTTTTAAATCAGATAAAAATAATGACCTCTATAGGGTCCACAAGCTAAAAACGTGATTTTTCGTACAATCAGGGGCCATAATTCAGGAAGTTACGGTCCGATATGCGCGAATATCGAAAGGAACCGAGATCTTTGGGTTATAAACTTACATTTCAAGTTTCAACAAAATTGGATAAAAATTGTGACCTCTATAGGGTCCACAACCTTGATATACCATATTTTTACGCTATTTGAGAACGAACGGCAGCCATTTTGTCTGTCAATTTTGGGCCGATTTTCACGAAATTTGAACTCAGTCGTCCTTAGGGTGTAACGGTGATATAATAATACGGTTTTTTAAATCGGATAAAAATTATGACCTCTATAGGGTCCACAAGCTAAAAACGCGATTTTTCGTACAATCAGGGGACATAATTCAGGAAGTTACAGTCCGATATGCACGAATATCGAAAGGAACTGAGATTTTTGGGTTATAAACTTACATTTCAAGTTTCAACAAAATCGGATAAAAATTGTGACCTCTACAGGGTCCAAAAGCTAAAAACGTGATTTTACGTACAAACAGGGGCCATAATCCATGAAGTTTCGATCCGATACATGCCAATATCGTAAAAATCGGACAAGAATTGTGACCTGTAGAGAGTCCACAAACAAATTGTGGACGGACGGACGGAAAAGATCGGGAGAAAGGTCCTGAATCCATTTGTCTCACGGAAAACACTGGTTAGTTGATATGTCTGTGTACTTGGCGTTTAGGAATTAAATTAGTTTGAATTGATATTACGCAAAATTATTTTCTTAAAATGAAATTGCTGATCTTTGTAAGCTGAAAAGTAGCCGGAAATTGGTCTAATGTAAACGGCGAAATTTGCGGTTGCCGGCTTCTTATGACATCCTTGGCCATAACTCTGGTAGTAATTATCGGAAATCTTTGAAAATCACTTGGCTTCTTCATCTCACAACCTTAATTACCCTGTATAAATCTGATGTCTATCGAATATTAACTTCAGCCTGGAGCGTCCACAAGATATTCCAAAGTGATCAAGGGCAATAACTCTGGCAGTAATTATCAGAAATCGGTGAAAATCAATAGGCTATCTCACATTTTTCAATTTCGAATATTTGTCTGTGACTTCTATCGATCGAAGAATGGAAAATGCGTTGTTTATAAGACAATTTTTGTTATTTTTCAAAATATAAGTTTCATTCCGAGTTATCGCCCTTTACTTTTTTAATTTTCGGCCCATTTTCTAACCCTTATATTTTTTTACTTGATAAACTATATTTGAAATTTGTGCGCAGACCGGAAGTGGCCGAATTTTGAACGGTGGCGAGAAATTAAAAATTGGGTGTGCTTTCGTCAATTCTTTACCTATTTTCAATCAAATGACATTTTCGAAAACCCTCAATCATTTCCAAGACAATGCCTATCTCACATTTTTCAATTTCGAATATTCGACTTAACTTCTATCGTTCGAAAATTGAAAACACGTTGTTTATGAGACAATTTCTGTTATTTTTCAAAATTTGTAAATTTGTCCTACATTTTTGGATAAATTATGGCAACCATAGTCCTACCTAAAACCTGATCAGTTGTTTGTAAATACTAAATATTAAAGGATGATAAAAACAATAAATTACTGAAATTTTATTGCAATATTTGTTTCCAGGGATATCACCCAGCTCTACAAATAATTATTTGACATATATAGTCATTACTTTCAAACATGCAATAATAAATTGTTTAATTTCAAAATCAATATGAGTAGAAGAAAATAAAAGACAACTTACTTCCTGATCGGCCATTAACAGTATTACGGTTGGTAGATTCTATAGAGAGTTCTTTACCTATCTTGGTCAGATTATCATAGGACTGGAATAAATTTGAATTAGAAAAATAAAACTAACAAATATAAAATAATACAACATACACACACCATTGATTTATTCACAAACTTTTTTAAGCAAACCAATGGTCATATCCCCGACGTAATTAAATATAGTACTGAAGCAAAGGTAATAGATGACACATATTAATTACTGTATGAACCGTGGTAAATTTTAAACAGATTTCTTTGATTCTGAACAAACCACTGAATAATTGTTATTAAAAACTTGCCTATGTGTTTGAAATCACCTCCAGTTGAATAAAATCTATTGCACAATTAAATATCCCAACGAAAAAAAAAGTTCTCTCTTGAAAAGTCAATGTTTTTGCTTGTATTTTCGACCGTGACAATCACAACATAACACATGTCACGTGATGAGCTAAACCATCATAATTTGTTGAAGAGGGGTAGAGGTAGACACATTTGACAATAACATGTGTTGTAATCAAAACAGCGCACGACCGTTTCTATTATTTGAGTTTGGGCAACAAAAATAGCAACTGAAGACAATAACATTAATTTGAAAACAATTGATTGTCAAACTACTAAATGTTCTGCGACATCACGTGCAGAATCCCTTCACACAGGCATCTGAGACAGCACGCCTGACAGTGGGAACACACGGAAGACCCATCAGTACCGATACAGTGTGCCAACGTCTCACCAGAGAGAACATCCATTGCCGCAGACCTTACCGTGGACCGATCCTCTCACCTCACCATCGACGTGAACGTCTAGAGTTTGCCAAACAACACCAGAACTGGCGACATAGGCAATGGAGAACTGTTCTGTTCACAGATGAGAGTCGGTATTGCGTATCAACTGCAGATGGCAGGACCAGAGAATATGGCGTTGACATGGCCAGCGTTATTCTGACCAATGTGTCATGGAACGAGACTCAAGTGGAGTTCCAATCATAATGGTTTGGGGTGGAATCGGCCTGAACCAGAGAGTGGGTCCTGTGGTGTTCCAAAATCTTGGTTCAGGGAGAGGAGGCGGCATCACAGCAGTGTGCTACATCGATCAAGCTCTCAGACCCCACGTCATACCACATTTCGCACGTTATCGAAACAGTGTTTTCCAGCATGACAACACCCGTGCCCACACCGCCACAGTTACTTAGGACTTTCTACGGCAGAACGGTGTCAACGTTATGCACTGGCCAGCCCTTAGTCGAGACTTAAACATGATTGAACATCTTTGAGATGAAATTCAGAGGAGACTTAATAACGTCATACCGAGAGCAAATACAGACGATGGATTGCACCATGCTTTTCTGAGTGTGGTTCCAGGTGCCAATGACGTTCATCAATCGTTTGGTCGCTCCATGTGCAGATGCTGCGCTGCTGTTATTGACACTCGCGGTGGACACACCCGATACTGATGTATAGACTGTGTACAGACTCTAAACCTTCTTGTAATGTCTTGGAATTGTGATGAATTAATCACTGATGTGTCAACATAATGTTCACAAAAAATTGCTTTGATCCATTTAGTAAGTCGTTTTCTAGAATGATTTGATTAAAGTGCCTCTCTGATTTTGAAATCGTACTGACGTTTTGGGTTTTTTTCTGTTTAGTATATAGTTAATAACTGGGAGTACAATGGTATGGATACATTGCCCTGTGAATTTCAAAACAAAGCCGTGATTTTGGAAATTAATTGTGTTACCAAGACGCACGATTATAAAATTCTAAACAGTTTTTGCACAACGGAAATAATATTCGAAGAGAAATAGAAAGAAATGGAACTATCTGCCGATAATTAAACAAGGGTTCAATTTAGTCTAAAACCAATGAGTAGCAAATTTTTGTGACAGATTCACATTTTGGCTAATCAATTATGATTGTGGGATGTGAAAACAAGCCGGGGCTTATATAAATTCATCTCCCGAGGACTTATTTACAATAAAATATAAATACTTTGTATAAGATTGTAATCATAAATAACAAACTGGTATAAAATTACAAGGTAAAGGTGTTTACTCTCATTTAATTAATCAAAACGTTATATCGGATATAGTATAAATCAGTTAAATTACCGAATGTAGTAGAAACGTAGTGGGGTTAGCGAAATGATTATCTGATGTTCATAGCACTGAAAGGGTATGCGAAACAATGGTTGTGGTAGTAGGAGAAAGAAAATATTATTGCGATCGGAGGCATCTGGCGTGCGACGGTGTTACATGGTTAGCCCTGTGTGACCTGTTTGAAAATGGGCGTCAGCTTGTCTATAGAGATTTACAGTCAGGTACCTTTTGGCGCCAGTGAGAAGTCTCACGAGATTATCGTCGTGCAACATTACTTTGCAGGGTTGACTTTTCTGCTTGTGACGTCTACAGGTGGAAGTTAATTCATTTGTGATTTAAAGAAGATACATTACCTGGGATGTGTGTGACTTGTCTACGTTATCACCTCAGGTGGAACTGGACTAAACTCCAGGAATGAACGAACGAATGGGATGTATAATTTCCCCGGACGTGATTTACCGATTTATGATGTATTTGTCAATGGCGGAATTACTATTTTGAATGGATATAATGGATAATAATACTACGACCACGGTAAGGCGAGCATCTATGGGTGTGCTTTTTTCATATTCACCATTTTTATTCGCACTTCATATGCAAATAATCTTAATCAAAATGAACCGATCGGATAAACGACTCGGGGGGGAAAATAAACGATTCATCTAATAGTTAAACATAGTAGATAAATTAACAGGTGTTGATTTTTAAACGCATCTCGGAAAATTGGACTGCTTGTCTAATAAATAAACGCATTAGATAAGTCAACGCTTCGGCCATTTCTAAACCCCTCTCGAAGAAAAAAAAACGGTGTACCATTAAATTAAATCATAGTACTAATTAAACGATTTTTGTAATTTCCAAACGATTTTTATCAATATCAAACGATGTTTTGAAATTAAACTATATGCATAGTTTTTAGCGCTATAAACCCCATATTAAACGATACAAGGATTACAGTGTCGAAGATTTCAACTATATATTTTTGTTTTCGACACAATAAAGCAAAGAAAACGACCATTCCCATCATATATCCAAAGAAAGCCAAAAATGTTAAAATGCTGATAGCAATGAAGTGACCGTCACTTGGGTGATATTTCTTTTTAAAAGTTATATTTATATTTACTTTGAACACTGCTACCAACGTGGGGGACTATATTTGTGTTCTATTTTTAACAAAGATAGTTGCCAGGCAACGAAACGTACGCCCACAGCAGCTAAGTCGTCCGGGCAGTCAACAAGAGTTGTCGCATATTTATACTTTTTTTGGTACCGGGTAATGAAACATTTATAATACACTAAAATCTGATTAAGAGTAACAACTCATGAAGTAATTATCAGAAAACCATTAGAATTTGTTTGGTTTTTATAAAGTTCTGCCCCATGCTAATGTTTAGTATACAAAACTTTTAATATCATGGATTTAAAACATATGCCCACAGCAGCTAAGTCATCCGGGCAGTCAACAAGAGTTGTCGCATATTTTTTTTTTTTTTGGTAATGAAACATTTATAATACACTAAAATCTGATTAAGAGCAACAACTCACGAAGTAATTATCAGAAAAGTATTAGAATTTGTTTGGTTTTTATAAAGTTCTGCCCCATACTAACGCTTTGTATACAAAGCTTTTAATATCATGGATTTAACTGTTCAAGTCATAAAAATTCATTGAAAATCAATATACTTGTTCTTCTCAAGATCTTAAACTCTGTGTATCAATCTGAAGTCAATCGGATGATAATTTTAGCCTTTAGAGCGTCACAAGATTTTGCAAAGTGATCAAGGGCCATACCTTTGGCAGTAATTATCGGAAATCGTTGAAAATCAATAGGAATCTTCGTCTCATGACCTCAAACACTGTGTATAAATTTGAAGTGATTATCCGAAATCGTTGAAAATCAATAGGCTTCTTCATCTCATGACCTTAAACACTGTGTATAAATTTGAAAGTCAATCGGATATTAACTTTGGCCTCTAGAGCGTCCACAAGATTTTTCAAAGTGATCAAGGGCCATAACTCTGGCAGCAAATATCGGAAATCGCTGAAAATCAATAGGCTTCTTTGTCTCATGACCTTAAACACTGTGTATTAATTTAAAGTCAATCGAATATTAACTTTGGCCCCTAGAGCGTCCACAAGATTTTTTGAAGTGATCAAGCGCCATAACTCTGGCAGTAATTATCGGAAATCGCTGAAAATCAATAGGCTTCTTCGTCTCATGACCTTAAACACTGTGTATAAATTTAAGGTCAATTGGATATTAACTTTGGCCTCTAGAGCGTCCACAAAAATTTTCAAAGTGACCAAGGGCCATAACTCCGGCAGTAATTATCGGAAATCGCTGAAAATCAATAAGCTTCTTCGTCTCAAGACCTTGAACACTGTGTATAAATTTAAAGTCAATCAGATATTAACTTTAGCCTCTAGAGCGTCCACAAGCAATTGTGGACGCCGGACGGACGGGGGCGACGACAATATACGACCACATTTCAATGTGGGCGTATAAAAATTATTAGGGGATACTTAATTGTTCACTTTATTTTACCATTATGACAGAGAAAAGTCATAATGTTAGTGGAACTGACTTTTCAATGTTATTTATAGTAATATAATTTCTACTTTGTACAATTGAAATTTATATCATTGGAAAGAACACGACAATCTGTACATTTTTATAACAGAGTATTTCTATGTATAGAAAATATATTTTTTAGTTATTTGCAATTTTGTAGAGGGTATTAGGATTAACAATAATTCACTGATTGGCTTAGGGAGATGGGCCCTGCTGATTTAATTAGCTTAGGGGTAGGGTAGCTAATCTTTTAATTGGCTCAGGGTTAAATGGGTTAATAAAATATTTACTTTTACCTTAGTCTTACCATCACTAAACATTTCAGGCATAACATCTCCCATTAAATACTGAGATACACTAAAAAAAAAAATAACATTCTATAATATTACATTACACCAATAAGCGGTTTCCATGCAAGTGATTTTCCAAGAGATGAACGGGCAACAGGGACAAACGGTTGCCATGCAAGGTACGCGCACATTTTACTAGAGATGGATAGAGAACAGGGCAAATCAATAGAGCTCATGCTCTCATTGTCCCAATGTTTCACATCTAATTTGGAACCAGCGGCTGCCAGGCAGGATACACCCACATTTTGCATAAGATGGATAGAGAACAAGCTAAAAAGAAACAGGATTTTTTGTACAATCAGGGGCAATAATCCAGAAAGTTACGGTCTGAAATGCCCAAATATCAAAAGTGACTGAGATCTTTGGGGTATAAACCAATGTTTTAAGTTTCAACAAAATCGGATAAAAATTGTGACTTCTAGAGGGTCCACATCCTTTGTAGCATACTTTTACACAATTTGCGTACAAAGTGCGGTCATTTTGTCAGGCAGTTTCATTTCGATTTTCCCGAAATTCGAATTCAACCTTCATTATGGTAACATATTTAAACGTTTTTTAAAATCGGAAAAAAAACACCATTATGACCTCGAGAGAATCCTCATGCTAAAAATGCGATTTTTCGAACAATCAGAACCCATAATCCAGGAAGTTAAGGTGTAACGTTTTTTTTAAATTAAATAATAATTGTGACCTCTAGAGGGACCACATTCAAGAGCCATAATTCAGGAAGATACAATCCAATTCGCACAATCCAATGCGCACAAATATCGAAAGGAACCAAGATCTTTGGGTTATAAACATGTATTTCATATTTCATCAAAATCGGATCAAAATTGTGGCCTCTAGAGGGTCCACAACCTTGATTTACCAATGTTTACACTATTTGCATACGAGGGGCGGCCATTTTGTCAAAATTGTGGCCTCTAGAGGGTCTACAACCTTGATTTACCAATGTTTACACTATTTGTATACAAGGGGCGGCCAATTTGTCTAACAGTTTTGACCGATTTTCACGAAAATCGAAGTCAACAAACATTATGGTGTAACGGATATATATTTGAACGTTTTTTTAAATCAAATAATAATTTTGACTTCTAGGGGGACCATAAGCTAAAAACACGATTTTTCGTACAACCAGAGGCCATAATTCAGGAAGTTACAAATTGATATGCGCGAATATTGAAAGGAACCAAGATATTTGGGTTATAAAGTTGCATTTCAAGTTTTATCAAAATCGGATCAAAATTGTGGCCTCTAGAGGGTCCACAACTTTGATATATATTCCTTGGGAGGCATTTAGCAATTGATTTATGATATAATACTAGAACACGCATTATGGATACAATCACTTGGTTTATTGTATTGCAACGTTTCAACTAGATTTCACAAGTCGTTTTCAAGCAAATACCCCATGTACAAATGAGACATATCATGGATGAAATATATATGTACAATCAGCGATATCACTAATTAATGAGCTATATAGACAGGTGACAAAGATAACTTTAATGTTTTTATAAGAATATAAGTCTACTTGGAGTAAGTTTTTTGTTGTTATTGTAATGATATAAGAACGCTAGGTTAACTCAGAGTGACATTATAATCATTATAATCATATCATATTAGGTTTAGTAATAAAGTTTTAAACAATTTAACCGCCCAGTAATTTGAATATGTGGTGTCTTAATTTTTGGAAAATTTACTATTTGATTCCATTTATGGTTTAGTAAGTTTAATAATATAAAGGTTACCAATCATAACTTTGATATACCAGATATTTACACTATTTGGGTACGAGGGGCGGCCGTTTTGTCTGGCAATTTTAGTCCGATTTTCATGGAACTCAACCTCAGACAAAATTACGGTGTAATGGTGATATATTCAAACGTTTTTTTTTAAATCGGATAATAACTGTGACCTAAAAACGCAATTTTTCATACAATCAGGGGCCATAATTCAGGAAGTTATGATTCGATATGCACGAAAACAGAAAGGAACCAAGATATTTGGGTGATAAACATGCATTTCAAATTTTATCAAAATCAGATTTACATTTTTTTTTTCTAACACTATTTATTCAATAAATATTTACATAATATAAATATAATATGTATAAATCTGGGATCTGAAAACAAGACGGGGCTTATATAAATTCATCTCCCTATTTACAACAATATAAATACAGTGTTTGAAATTATAATCATAAATTATATAACGGTTTAAATTTACAAAGAAAAATGTATACTCTCAATGTTGCAATATTATATCGGACATATCGTAGTTTATGTACAAAGGGGGTTAATATACAGAAAGTAATGTAATGTAATGTAATGTAGTGTAATGTAATATAGTGTAATGTGGTGTGGTTAGCGAAGCAATTATTTGATGTTGATAGTAGTGGGGAGGTGTGTGAACCCAAAATTGTGGATGGGGGAGATGGACGGATTATCAATCAGGGAACAATAAATAAAATAAAATAAAATCAGGTGACGGTAAGTAAAACTCACCATGACACACTATGTATAAATAATGAGGAGACGACAATTTAAACCAGCAGAACACGATAAGTATCATTAGGACACGATAAGTGTCACCAATCTAGAGACCCAATAAAACCAAGCGTCACACAATACGTATCAAGACAGGATATGTATCATCAGTTATATAACAATAACTAAACCCACCATAACGCGATAGGTATTATCAATAAAAAAGACGGTAAGTATCATCTACGATAAAGGCCGCCTATCAAAAGGTTGTAAATCAAACCAGCAGGACACGATAATCAGCAAGATACCGTAAGTAAAAAAATATCGGGACACGATATGTAACATTAATTATACCAGCATGACACGATAAGCATCGTGAGTCAGAAATCAGTAAATAGGACAGGCATGACACGATAGGTATCATCAATCAATCAATTACACAATAAGTATCATCAATGGAGAGAGAGAGAGAGAGAGAGAGAGAGAAATGGGGTTTAACGTCCACTCGACACAAACTAGGTCATTTCGGGACTAACACATGGTTTAATTTTATTTACATAATTCGCTTGCGCGTAGGGGTCTTTAGCAGTGGGAGGAAACCGGAGGACCCGGAGAAAACCCACGAGGTTGGACAGGCGACCCTACTCCTTGCCACGTACAACCGGGGATTCGAAACCACGCCAGTCGACTCAATGACAGACTTTATGATACAGCGCGCGCACGCTAACCATTCAGCCATCCAACTCCCCATCAATGGAGAGAAGATGAATAAAAAACACCTGGGTGTGGTAAGTATCATAAATGAAGAAGTGGTAGGTACAATCAGCATGGCATGATAAGCACCATCAGTCGAGATACAGTGGGTAAAACCAGCATGGCGCAATAGATATCGTCAGTCAAGAAAACAGGTAAGTATCGTCAATCAAGACAACAGGTAAGTAGAATCAATCAAGAGATGGTAAGTAGAACCAGCCTGAAGTGGTAAGTATCATCAACCAAGGGACAGTAAGCAAACACAGTTTGAAGCGGTAAGTATCAAAAACCGTAAACGGTAAGTACTTTGTTTAATTTTTACTTAAATCTATTGGATCGGTTTATGAATAACTGAATTGCGGTAAAGATTTCTATATTTGTCAAGAGGTTGTTTCCATATAACTCGTTCTAATCTCCCGGTGTGTATATGGTAATAGTAATATAGTTTCTTGTCTTTGTCTAGTAAAGTTGGAGCAGTATAATAAATAATGTTCGCTGTCCTCCATAGTGTGACCGCATGTACACGATGGATTGTCGGAAATATTCATTAAGAACTTGTGGTAGTTCAGACCACTTTTTTGACATCTAAGTCTAGTGTGAATAATTTGGAGTCTTCGATCTCCTTGGTAGTAGTGTTTAGGGGTCGTTTGGTCGCTTTTGTTTAGGTGATCTTTGAACTCTTGCAAAGTTGAACTTTGCTTTACATCTTCCGGGAGGTTATTCCAGAATGAGATCGTAGAAGGGAGAAAAGACAGTTTATATGTAGTTGTTGATGCATATATGTTTCGGTAATGTGATGGGTTACGTGTAACGTATGGATTCAGGGCAGCAACTCTAGGTGGAACGAGTAATGATAGGTAGCTGGGCGTGTGTTTGTGTATCATCTTGTAATATACAATGAGTTTGTGTCTGTGCCGTCTCTCTTTTAATGGGATAAATCCAGATTCTGCATAGATGACTTTATGTGATGTTCCTCGAATAAGTTCGGTTACTGTTCTCAATGCATCGAGCTGAAGTTTCTCAAGTTCAAAAGTCTCCTGGCCTGTACAATTATCCCATAGGACATCTGCGTAGTCAAATAAGGGAGAATAAAAGACTTGTATATTGTTTCGAGTGAATTTCTGGAGAGTCTATACTTAAAACTTCGAAAATGGCCGACAGTTTTAGAGATTTTGGATGTGATGTAATTTACATGATCTGTCCAGTTGAAGTTTTTTGGAAGATAGACGCCCAAATTTTTATGAGAAGAGACTTCACTTAGAGCAGTGTTGTTGAATGTTAATTGGAAGAACAAAGGGTTTTGTTTTCTGGAGAAAGTGATACTGGTGGTTTTATTGGGGTTAAAAGCGACTTTCCAAGTAGAAGCCCATTTGCTAATGGTACAAAGGTCCGAGTTTAGAATTCGTTGGGATGAAGCGGGGTCTTCAATGACAAGATAGAGCGACGTATCGTCTGCAAAAAGTCGTATGTTTGATGTTATATCATTCACAAGATCATTTATGTAGGCGACAAAGAGTAGAGGGCCTAGTACTGATCCTTGTGGTACTCCTGCATGAATCGTTGATACTCTGTCGATCACTACACACTGTTGTCTATTTGATAAATAACTCTCTAAAAGCCTATGAATATTTCCACGGATCCTAACAGCGTGAAGCTTAGACAGAAGACCTCGATGCCAAACTCTGTCAAAAGCTTTACTTATATCGAAATATACTGCTCGCACTTCTTTGCCTTCATCAAGGGCTTTACAGATTTGGTCATATAG